TCCTCCTCCTCCTCCTCCCTTTTCCTCCTCCTCCCGTTTCCTCGTCCTCCCCTTTCCTCCTCCTCCGCCTCCGCCTCCGCCTCCTCCCCCCCCGCCCGCTTTCTGGAGAGCCGCGCACCGAAGGCAACTCCGGCGAAGGGCCTGTCGCACGCGTGGCCGAAACGTGGGGCCCCCCCAACCAAAAGCCCCAGACATGCTCGCGTCGTGAACAAAAATCCGGACGGGAGGTTCTTGGCCGTTTTCGGCCTCGGGAAGCCCTCGCCGGGCCTCGCGACCGTCAAAAAACGACTCGGGATGAAAAACCGGTTCCGGGGAACAGGCCGGGACTTCCAGGGACCCCGTCTTGAAAAAATCCGGACGTTGCAGGTCTGGGGCTGCAGCCGCATGTCGAGTCATCCCTTCGTCGGTGGGGGGGTGGGCAGATCTCCTGTGACGAAGGCAGCCCCGGACAGGACCCCGGCGGGTGCCGGCCCGCAAGATGTGCGGCCGCAGCACCCCCTCGAGAACCGAGCAAGGGCAATTCACTGATCTGCTCGGCATGCTGGGGGTTCGATCAGCCTCCGTGCCAGCTGCGGCCCAAGGTCTGGTTCAACGTCTCCGTGTGCAGCGTCCTCGCTTCCAGGCCCCTGGGTCCTCACCCTCGCGCGTGAGCCTGCCGGGCTCCAGGCCCACCGGCTCCTCCTTGGCACGCCCGACGTGGGTCTAGAAAGATGGGCACGATGCCCAACAGCACATCTCCTCCAGAAGCGACAACGGCCGCCGTTGGGCAGGCGACCGTCCTATCTCAGACGGGCCACGTCCACGGCGTCACGGGCAGCGAGCCCCCTCTCAGAACGAGCAAGGGCCGCTGTCGGACGTCGCCCCCGCCTTCCTTCCGTACCCGCTATGACAATGCCGATCTGGCATGGAAGACACGGGTCTTGAAGATAATGGGTCATTCCCCCCGGACCAACTCTTCATCCTGAGTTGTCTTCTGCAAGTCCCGGGGCCCGTGGGGGGCCCTCGAAAAGAGCGACGAAACTCTGGACCCGTTTCCCTCAGGACCCGTTTCCTTCACGGCGTGCCGATCCTCCTTCTTGCAGGGCTGCCACAGCCGCCTGCAGAGCGGCGGGGACTTGCTGCTGAGCCGTGCGCCCCCCGGCAGCCCCGCGCCACCGCCGCCCCGCGCCGCCGCCGCCCGGGCCGCCGCGCCAGGCTCGCCCTTGACGGCGGCTCGGCGAGGGGCGGCCGCGGCGGCCCTCGACGAGGCGAGGGGCGGCGAGGGCGGCGCCGTGGCCTCGAGGGGCTCCCGCGGCGGCGGCGGCGCCGCCTCTTCCTTCTTGGCGCGGCCCGCCGCGCCGCCCCGCTCCGGCGCCCCGCAGCCCGCGAGCAGCGCCTCGAGGTTAGCGGCGCCCCGCAGCGGGGGCTCGCCGTCCGCGTCCACGTCCACGGCGCACCTCGCGAGGCGGCCCCGCCTGCGCCGCACGGCCAGCTCGGGCTCGGGCTGGTCCGGCTGCGGCTCCGGCTGGCGGGGCTCCGGCTGCGGCTGCGGCTCTGGAGCCAGGCAGGCGGCCCGCGGCCGCTGCTGCTTCGCCCTGCCGCCCTGGCGCCTGGCCTGCTGCGGCTGCTCCGCCTGCTGCGGTGCCCCGCCCGAGGGGGCGTCCTGCGTGGCGGGCTGCCGCGTTGGGCGCCGGGCCGCCGCGTGGAGCGGCTCGGCCAGGTGGTCGGGCGGCGGCTTGGCCTGGGGCCACTGCTGCCCAACACGCTCCTACAGTCAAGTCGCTGAATGAAAGATCACTCCTGGTTCAGGAGGGGCCCTGGCTTTCGGGCCGTCTCTCAGATCTACGTCGGGAAACCGATCCTTGGCCAGTCTCGCCGTGGCCAGAAAAGCCCCTTCGTTCCTTATCCAGCTTTCCTTAAGGTAGTGCGATCGATGACTGTACCTCGGCGATCGGACACTAGAGAACTGACGCACACTGACCCCCCGCGCCCACGCGACCTTACATCAAATCTGCACGCCCTCAAGTGGCGCCCTAACTCGAAGAGACCCCCAGGACGAGCCCTCAGAAGGCCCCAAGCCGCACCAAGAAAGGCCCAAGACAGCACAAGAGGGGCCCAAGACGGCACAAGAGGGGGCCAAGACGGCACAAGAGGGTTCCCAGACGCTCACGATGGCCCAAGAGAGCTCCGAGACGGCCCAACGGGGCCCGAAGGATCTCCCAAAGACAACCCAAGATGACTTCACGGCGCCCCTGTAAACACTTCACGTCAGGACTTGAGGGAAACCGCAACTACCAAGAAGATGGCCCCAAGAAACCACCAGAGGTTCCCTAGATGCTCCACAGGAGGCCTCCAGAGGCTCCCAAGAAGCTCCCAAAAAGCGCCAGAGACCTTCTAGAGACCTCCCAAGGAGGAGCCTCCGCCAAAAAGCTGTGGAGGACGGGAAAGGAGTCACAGGGAAGGATTCGCAGGGAAGGGCGAGAACGAAAGTGGGCATAAACAGATGTGCCGTTGAACATCTGTATTTATTTGTGCATATACATATGCATCCGCACATACAAATACATATACATATCCACCACCGTGCCGTTGGGCACGGAGTGGGCGTGTCCTTCGGTCATATGCCCAATCCTTTAAGGGCCAGAGCCCAATTTGTCAAATCTTCTGAGGCTTGGCGCGTCTTGTCGTCGCTTCTCGCGTGACTTTTCTGAGCCAAGAGGGCCCCAACACGGGCCAAAAGGGCCCTAAGAGACCCCCAGAACGGTCCAAGAGGGCCCCGACTCGCCAAGAGGCCCCCCAAAGGCGCCCAAGAGGCTCCAAAGAGGCTCCAAAACTGCCACCAAGAGGCCCCCGAGAGCGCCCCATCCCTGAGAACTCTTGCCCACAAGCCCGCACGGTGGCGGAATGGGCCGACGGCCACTATATCCGCCGCCCCCTGTTGGCTTGCCACAGGGGTGCCTGGCGTGCTTGACCCTCTCGGTTTTGGTTTTGGTTCTTTCTCCAAAAGAACTCCCCTGGCGCTTCGGCCAGTCCCGCTGGGGTCCCGGGAGGATTGCCCAGGACCCCAAGATGGCCTCCTAGACGGCTCAAGATGGCGTCCTAGATGGCCAAGATGGGCCAAGATGGCCTCCAAGATGGTCCAAGACGGCCTCCAAGTCCGCCCAAGATGGTCCAAGACGGCCTCCAAGACGGCCCAAGAGAGTCCAAGACGGCCCGAGAGGCCCCCCAGAGGCCTCCAAGACGGCCCAAGAGGCCTCCAAGAGGTCCTCCAGGAGGGCTCGAAGAGGCCAAACTCATTGATTTGTTTTAGGTGTTTGAAGGATTTGGGGTTTTGCTTCTTCTCGGCATTCCGACGGCTCAAGAAGGCCCAAGACGGCCCCAAAGATCGCCCAAGAGGCCCCCAAGAGGGCCCCGTGACGGCCCAAGTGGCCTCCCAGACGGCCCCAAGAGGACCCCAAGACGGCCCAAGAGGCCTCCAACACGCCCAAGATGGCCTCCAAGACGCCCAAGATGGCCTCCAAGACGGCCCCGAAGCGCCCCAACAGGGCCCCCAGTCGGCCCAGAAAGGCCCCCAAGACGGCTCCCGACGGCGTCAGACGTGCCAGGAACCCACCAAGATGGCCGAAGTTGGTTCGAAGCTGACCCAAGACGGCCCACGGGGCTCCCAAGAGGGCCTCCAGGAAGGCCAGAAGAGGCAAAAAAACATAGATGTTCCTAAGGTGTTTGACGGAGTTTGGCATTTCCTTCTTTTCGGCCTTCCGACGGCCCGAGACGGCCCCAGAGCCCCCAAAGATCGCCGCAAGATCGCCCAAGAGGCCTCCAAGATGGCCCCAGAACGGCCCAAGAGGGCCCCAAGACGGCCCCAAGAGACCCCCAAGATGGTACAGGAGGCTTTTAAGACGCCCAAGATGGCCTCCAAGACGGCCCTGGAGCGTTCCAAGGGGGCCCCAACTCGGCCCATGGAGGCCCCCCTAACGGCTTCCGACGGCGTCAGACGGACCAGGAGCCCACCAAAACGGCCGAACATGGCCCTAAGATGGCCCAAGACGGCCCAAGAGGCCTCCAAGAGGGCCTCCAGGAAGGCCCGAAAAGGGCAAAATCATTGATTTGCCATGGGTTGTTTGAACGATTGTGGCATTTGCGTTTTGTTTCTGCCTTCCGACGGCCCGAGACGGCCCACGTGCCCCCAAAGATCGCCCAAGAGGCCCAAGACACGGCCCAAGAGGCCCCCAAAACAGCCCAAGAGGTCTCCAAGACGCTCAAGATGGCCTCCAAGCCGGCCCGAGAGCCCTCCAAGACGTCCTCCAAGATAGCCCGAAAGGGTCAGAATGGCCTCCAGACGGCCAAGATGACCTTCAAGATACCCACGTGTTCCCCGAAGGCTTTCCAAACCGATTCGGGGAACACATGGTCCGATAGCTTGGCAGGCTTCTGGCCACAACGTTCGGCCACATAGGCGCTTCCAAAAAGGCAGGGGGCGGCGGTGATTCGCCGTAGGCGTCTTCGATACACATCAGACCAATCATCCGTCCATCTATTCCTATTCTGATATTTTCACATTTTGATTACCCAGACCCCTCCCCTCCTAAACCGGACGCCCCCCCAGGGACGCCCTTTCGGACGTCCCGGCGGCCCCCAGGAAGCCCTTGGAAAAGGTCCGCTGGCCCTTCCGGGCCTCCTTGGGCGCCTTGCCGGGCCTTGCGGGCAGACTCAAGGCGATCAGAAGGGTCACCTTTTCTTTCTGTCTTTCTTTCGCACTGCCGCTGGCCCTACCGGGCGCGTGAAAGGAATTGTGCAGTTCCTGCCATGACACTGCGTCGAGCTCATAGCGACCCCGGGGGCCTTTGCCTGGGTCAAGGGAGGTGTCTGCGCATACTCAGCCGCACCAAAATTACTGAATCAACCTGCCGGCGCAAGGGGGGGAGGAGGAGGAGGGGAAGGAAACAGAGAGATATATACAAAAATGCATTCACACGTCCATGGTGAGATACTTACAGAATTGAGATAGCGCTGCGTCTAAAGGTAAGTTTCTGCTTCAAACGCAGACCGGATGTTCGTAACAATCTCCCCCATTAGCGCGAGCTCTTCGTAGTGGACCTCGTGCCCCTCGACGCCCCGAGCCCCATAGATGACATAGCCTATCGCCGCCAACCGGTGCCTATCCGAAGGCAGACCTCCAAGACCTCCGTCTACGCAGATCTTGATAGTTCCGTCGGGGTTGTGTTTCCGCAGTGCGTCTTGGCTCTCCCACTGGTGGTTTTCATGTGTGTCCATCGCGGCGTTCACGAGGTAATCGGGCACAGCGTTCATGTCCCTGGGGGCCCAATTCACGTAGGAATCGATGTCCCGTCTTGGACTCCATCCGGCGCGCTCCAACGTGAACAACCTGGTGCAGATCCTCCTGAACGCTGGTTCCACATCCGGCGCTCGTAACACCGAGCTTCCGTTGACGACGTCGGCGACCCCCAAGCAGTCGACCTGAATCCAGAGGCGCCTGCTCCACAAGTCCCATTTGAAGTCCATGGGGCGCGGAGGCATAAACGGTCGGACTCGAGGGCGAGGTGCGGCCGGAGCGCGGGGGGGCCAAGTAGACCTGGGCCCCGGATCCTCGCTTGGACGGGCAATTGCAAAGTGAGAACACGCCCGTCTGATGAAGTCTGGCGCCCTTTGAAGCCATGATGCCTTGGTTGGGCATGCATCTCTCTGACTCCTCCAATCAACGCCCACCTCCAATCAACGCCCAAGATTTCGCACAATGGATCTTCCCATGCGGTTCGATGGCCTCCGTGTTGCGCGTGAATGGGTCCCTCGGCCTTGCGTTTCCGATAAGAGCCCACCGAATGAACCGCTTCCCACCAAATCCAGCTGCGATACTCCCAGGTCGCCCTCAAAGGGTTCATCTCGAAATCGAGGCCCGTAAACTTCTCGTCCCACGCATATTTGCACATGGAGCTTAAGACCCGATGGGCTGCACATTGTTCACCTGCGTGTGTAATCCAATCGCGCATCATCCTCGCCGACCGTTGGTTGCATGCGCAGGCGCCCTCCCCAGGGCGGCGGCGAATAGGAAGCGACTGTCGTAACCGGTTGTTCTCCCAACGTTGCAGACCCACGAGAACTTCTGATGTAATGTGCCACGACCCCGAAAAAAGTAGAGCGGACGTCGCCCCCGATATTGCCCAGGCACGTAGCTTCGGAAGAATTGGCCCTGGAACGCGGAGCATCGGCTTGTGTTTGTAGAAAATATGTTCTGCCATTGTTTGCCGATGCTGTATGCTGCCATGCGTGCTCCCAACTCTGTCGAAGAACTCCCCCAGGAGAACCGTGTTCGCGACGATGTCGCAACGCATCTCCGCGCCGCGCTGCTCCACGAAGAAATCATATTGAAAGTCACATGCCAGCGGTCCGCCAGGAAGAATTCCCAACGATGACGGCTTCCAGAACAAGTCATGCTGCTTGAATCGGTCCGAAATGTCCTGGATCATCGTCGTCATCATCACTTGGTTAGTGGCAGTTAAAATGATGTTGTCGCACCAGGCAGCGTGATGAACGTAGTGGACGCCTCCGGCGCCATCCAGATCGAAACCAAAACCCCTTCAAGTCCAGGACACAACCAAGGGCTCCATCAACCAAGTAAGGAATGCGGTCCACTCGTCCGGTGTCTCCACGCCGCCCTGCTTGCCGCCCTGGTTGTAATCGAAAGGGTCCGTGGTTCCGATGAATGGGAGCTCGACAGTCGCTCGAAGTCCGGTCAATTCGCGCAGATGCGCAGCAGCCAACCCAGCGCTCAGTTCCCGGGCACGGAGAGCGGTAGCGATGTGCGCATGTTGCATAGAATCAAAGGCGATCTTCACATCTTGGAAGCTGATCAAGATATCTCGCCCCCACTTGTGCGCTAAATGCAGAAGTTGACGAACTAATGCTGTGACGTGGGTGGTGCGGCAGAACGGCTTGAACCCATAAGAGTGCACGTAGGACGGTCGCATTTGCCGTCGTAGTTGTGGCCTGAGTGATCCCCAAGACTGCGCAAGAAGGCCCCAAGACGGCCCAAGAAGGCCCCAAGACGGCCCCAGGACGGCCCAAGAAGGCCCCAGGACGGCCCAAGAGGCACCAGGACAGCCCAAAAACAGCGCCAAAAACGTCGAGACGGCGTTCTCCGTGCGCTCGTTGCGCTCACGCCAGCCCGCCTGTCTTTGCCGTACCTCCATCACCCTCTCTCTCTCTCTCTCTCTTTCTCTCTGTCTCTCTCTCTCTCTCTCCCTCTCCCTTCCCCCCTCTGCCTTCTTCGTCGACCTCCACGTTCGTGGCATCAGATGCCCGTCCTCATTCGCCCGCTCCTTCCTCTGGACCTTCTCCCCGTTTCTCCAGCCTCCACCCTTCCGCCTCTGCACCCACCCCTCATCCCTGCTCCAAACATAATTCCTTCCCCACTCCTGCGCAGCACCAGGGATATCAGGAAAATTAGCCGATCGCCTGTCCAGGCCTGGAAGTCCCCCCTGCTGAAGCAAGCGATGATGTATTGTTTTGCTGGGTAAGCGTCCGGAACAAGGCGCATGGCGCGAAGCGCAAATGCAGTCCTGCATACATATATACATACTCCCCCATATGTACCACTACGCCTGTGATGTGCGACACTTGAAGGACCAAGATGCATATCGCGAAGCGCCCAGGCAGTAGAGCATACATCTGTATGGTTGTGTATATCTTTAGTACAGAGAGAGGGACGTGCATATGGTTGTACAAATGTCTGCGCACAATTGTATACATGTGTTTATATGTATAGAGATATAGGTCGATAGGCGTGTGCATATGCAAATAAAAAATCCTAACCATACCTGTTTTTAGGGCTGGGCATCCCGGACAAAGCCCACACGCACGCACACACACCACCTAACCAATTTGGCCCACCCTGGGCCTCTCGGGCAACCCTTCAGACGACCCGGGGGAATCCCACGGCAGCCCAAAGACGGCCTCAGAGGGCTCCAGGCGTTCCGGCGCGCTCCCGAAACGACCATAGACAGCCCCAAGACGGTCCACGACGACCCCGAAGGAGCCATCACACTCCCAAAGATCGCTCCAAAACGTCCCAAGAGGCCTCCAAGAGCACTACCAAGACAGCCCCAAAAGGCACAAATCACAAATCTGAGGCTCTCCTCTCTTCGGCTTCCCGACGCTCCAAGACGGCCCCCATGAGGCCCCCAAGATCGCCCTAAGACGGCCTCACAGACTTCCAAGAGGGCCCCGAACCGGCCCAGGAGGGCCCCCAGACACTCCCGACAGGGCCCCGGGAGGCCCCAGGAGGCTCCCACGAGGCCCCGAAAAGGCCCCAAGGGGCCCCCAAGAGGCCCCCAGGAAGCCCAAAGGGCTTCCAAGAGTTTTGAAAAAATCCCGCAAGTAGCACACAGAAGTTCGAAAACGCCCGGAAAGGCCCCCAAGACAGGCCCAAGACGGGCCAGGAGCCCAATCATGCCCCTAAGACAGCCCAACAGAGCCGATACGCGCCCCAACAAGGGCCCAAGCAATAACGGGACTGCACCACGTTCGACAGGTGCATACATAAATGTATTATATATAATATGTGTATATATACACATACATATATATATATACACACGTGCATACATACATATGTGTATATATGTGTGTATACACATGTATGTGCATGTGCGGCCATACACACATGCACACACATACATATATACATATATATAGATGTATATATATGATAGCGGGGGAAACCCAATCATAATCGTTTTAGGGCTATAGGGCAATGGGGCTATAGAGCTATAGGGCTATAGGGCTATAGGGCCATGAGGTTAGGGGGCCATAGGGCTATAGGGCTATAGGGCGATCGAGATATATGGCTGTAGGGCTACAGTGCTACAGGGCTACAGGGCAGGGCTATAGGGCTATAGGGCTACAGGGCTGTAGGGCTATAGGGCTATAGGGCTATAGGTCTATAGGGCTATAGGGCTATAAGGCTGTGAGGCTATAGGGCTATTAGGGCTATAGGGCTATTAGGGCTATAGGGCTATCAGGCTACAGGGTTATAGGGCTATAGGGCTCTGGGGCTATACATACATGGCTATAAGGTTATAAGGCTATAAGGCTATAAGGCTATAGAACTATAGGGCTATGGGGCTATCGGGCACACGGGCATCCGGGCACCTGGGCACTTGGGCACCCCGGCACCAGGGCGTGCCACCGAAATCGGCGCCATACCTCACCTAACCATATGAATCCGCTAGGACCCATTCAGAGGCAAGCACTGATTGAGGAGTATATACACTCATCACGTGAACGCACGTGCGCGTGCATACATACGCGCATCTAATCATGCGCGCGTGCACGCGCGCGCACGCCGCCTGCGGGAGAAACTCAAAGGACCAAGGTGCATGGCACACAGCGCCAGTGCAGTCTTGCATATATGTGTGCATACACACATATATATATATGTATGTATATGCATGTATACATACATACATAAGTACGTACGTACGTACGTACATACGTACATACGTACGTACGTACATACATACAGACATACAGACATACCTACCTAACTACTTACCTACCTATCTACCTACATACATACATACATACATGTGTGCATATATATATATATATATATATATACGTCGGCCGGCTGCTCCACGGGCAGCGGCGGCGGCTGCAGCAAAGCGACAGTGGTAACCGCGGAGATCATGCATGCAGTCGCGGCAGCCACGGCGGCCGGCGCGGCAGCGGCAGCGGCAGCGGCGAAGCCAGGGGCCAGAAGCGGCGGCGAAGGCACGGGCCTGACTGGTGCCGGGCCTGCATCGCTTGCGCGGCGGGCTGCGATGCCTACGCTGCGCCACCACCGTCGAAATCAACAGCGGGGGTACGATTCCGCTCATATTTCCTGCTTCACACACCGCGTCTGCAGGTTCATATGCGACGACACTCTGCCGCTCTGCTGGTCCCCCCCCTTCTCCTCTCCATTGCCCACTTTCCTCGTCCAGGTCGGTCTTCTGTATGTCGCTGCCGCGACTGCCCACGCTCGTTCAGCATTCACGGCGCCGTGGTACCCAAGACGTCTCCCCTTATCCCATGCCGTCATCGCAAGTGCTCGCCCAGAGGAAGCCGTTGGACGGCCCCAAGGTGGGAGACCGTCGTGCAGAGCAGAATCGCACCAAGCCGACGCAGCAAATGACGCACTCGCCAGCAGGAGCCTGTCAAACCGTCTGGGCGTAAGTGGTTACGCGTTCCGTTAGTCCAACCTCCTCCTTCCTCGTCGGGGAGGGGAGTGCCTGCCCACCTGCCATACCGTGGAAGACGCCACCTCCCGCCGTTCGAAGCCTTCTGGGGGCCTCGGATAGGATGGTTGGGAGGGGGGGCGTGCGCGACGCAGTCGAAGCTCTGTGGGGGCGATGTTGGGCCCTGTCGGGGCTGACTTCGGGCTCTCTTGAGCCTCTGTGGGTGCCAACTGGGATGAGCTTGTACCACGTGCGAGGCCCGTGGGGGATCTCGTATGCCATCCAGGGAAGGGGCCCGTGGCGAGCCATGAAAGGCCTCTGGAGAAGCCAGTGGTCCTGCATAGGGGGGCCTCTTGAGCTCATAGTGGGCCTTCCTCGAAGCTTGCTGGTGCACCTCGGCAGTGGGACCTCCAGAGGCCGTCATGGGGCCTGTGAGGAGCCACAGCGCTGGACACCGCTGGCATGCTGGCGACGTGGACAGCAGTGGCCCCTCCTGGGACCCTCTCGAGGGCATCTGGGGTCGTATCGGGCCCCATCCTGGGCCCGTCTTTGGCTCCCTTGGGGACCTCTTGCGGCCATGCTGAAGCCTCGAGCGCCCCTCGGGGGCAGAGAAGGCGTCGACGGCAAACGCCATTGGGTCGCAGAAGGTTGTCGAGTGGACCTGGCCTCTCGGAAGCCTTCTTGGCGGCGCCTTGGGGCAATGTTGGGCCGACCTGGAGGCCGCACTGGCATGTAGTCTAAGCTATTGCAGGGTATTGTAGTGTAGTGCCTTGTCTTGTGTTGTCTTGTCTGGCCGACTGGGGCCACCCCACACCGCATTCGTTCGTGACAGCCCGTCGACCAGAGGAATCCGAGCCCGCCTTGCCAAGGGAAGTTCCTCCCCTGGGTATGGACGAGGGGGGGGGGGGCGACCCCAAGCAGCGTCCAAGATAGCCCCTAGATGGTCCCACGAGGGCCCCGATAGCCAAACATGAATTCCAAGATGGCGCATGATAGCCCAACATTGTTCAAACGTATTTCTGGGTATTCCTCCAAGAGGCCTCAAGACCGCCACAACACGGTTCAAAGTGGGCACAGAGCCTCCCAATGGGACCCCCGAGAGACCAACATCGTTCAGCAGCATAAGACTGGTCCGTGATGTTGGCCTTCTCGTGTCTTCTTTCCGATGGGCTTCCGACGCCTCAGCATGGCCCCCAAATCGTCCAACATGGCCCCAAGAGGAGCCCGGAAAGGCTCTCCAGAACGGCCTCCAGAGTACTCAAGGGCGCCCCAGAAGTGTCCCATGAGGCGGCGTGTCTTCTCCGACGGGGGGGGGGCACATCAGCGCCGCCCTTCGCCCACAGCCAACGCAAGTGAAAATCTCAAGTTACTTGGAACACTTTGGCCTCTCGGGCGAATCATCGAGAGTCGCTTGGGCCAAGATGACTCCAGGGTGGTCCCACATACACATTAAAATGGCCTTCAAGATGGCTCCAGATGGTGCAAGCTCGCTCAAGGTATCCTCCCGCATGCCTCAAAAAGCCTCAACGAAAGCCCAGAGACTACTCCTGGTAGCCCCAGAGCCCCACAATGAAGTCCCGCTTCCAATGGGCTTCCGAGGCCTCAAGATGGCTCCAAAAGCGCCCAAGAGATCGGAAGATCCGCGAAGTCGTGCCTGGCCGACTCCTGGGCCTGCTCGGGGTGCCTCCGAGGTGCGGCTTGAGAGCTGCCCCCCCCCCCCCTCGTTTTTCAACTGCTTGATCCTACCCCTCCCCGATGAAGACAACCTTGCCTTGGCAAAGCGTCAGGAGCAGCAGCTCTCCCATGACCCACCGCCCATCGCACGGGGCAGCACAGACGGGCGGGCAGGGGCAGGCGGGGGGGGAGGGGGCAGGCGGCCCGAAGGGGGCGGACGGACAGACGCACGAGCGGACACGTCGGCGGACAGGCGCGGGCGAACCGCCGGGAAGGGAGAAGTTCCAAGCAGCACGCCATCGAGGAAAGGACACACACACACACACACACACGCACACACACAGACACATACACACACACACACACACACACACCCACACACACAAACACACACGCGCGCGCGCGCAGGCGAATGCGAACGCGCACGCGCACGCGGACGCGCACGCGCACGCGCACGCGCACGCGCACACGCACACGCACACGCACACGCACTCGCACCCGCACGCGCACACGCACACACACGCACACACACACACCTACACACACACATACACACACACACACATAGAGACACACAGACACAGACACAGACACAGACACAGACACACACACACACACACACACACACACACACACACACACACACACACACGCGCGCGCGCGCACGCACGCACGCACGCACGCACGCAAATACGCGCGCGCACGCACATGCACACGCACACACGGCCAGAGTGAGGCGGAGACGGCTCGCTGCACCTGGTCCCGTCGGCCCTCGCGGGCGTGGGAAGCTGCGCGGCGCTGCTGTGCAGGCCTGCGCGGCAGATTGTGCAACGACGAACAACAACAACCCCCATCAATGCACAACTGGCATGCCCAGACAAGGAGCATCTGGATGTTGTGATGGAATGCATTAGGAACGCGAGTGAAGAAGTCCGACTCGAACTTGCTCCGCGGGAAAAACGCAAAGGGCCGAGACAAACTGTCCTGAACAGACTCGCGCCATATTCCGACAGAAGCTGCGAGGGTAAACTGTAGCAAGGTGGCCGAAGGGAAGCAACGTCACGGGCTGCCTGAAGCGTGCCAAAACATTATTCTCGGGACTCCAACGCCACGAATCAATATGACTGCTGCGTCTTGACGATCCAGAATCGTGCCAGAACACCAGCCCTGGAGCTTCAACACCACGAGTCAGCATAACTGTTGTGCCCTCACAATCCTGAGTCCTTCGCGAAGCTCTTGCACATCTTGCACATGTGTGTGTGTGTGTGTCAAAAACATGTGCGAGGCGCTAAAGCGAGAACCACATGTTGAAAACCACCCCCCTCAAAACTCTTGCGAAGTTTGAAAAACGAATGTGCGCGGCGCTCAGGCGAGAGCCACATCTTGAAAGCCACCTGCCCTACATCTGTCAAGCTGTTGCCAAAGTTTAAGCTTCAGGGTCGCAAACCGTGAGGAACTCTGAGGAGAAACGCCCAGCCCGCCCTTTCGACCAGCCTCGGGGTGCGACAGAGAACAATTATCTATAAGGACGAGGGATGGAGGAGGAGGAGGAGGAGGAGGAGGAGGAGGAGGAGGAGGAGGAGGGGAAGGATCAGGAGGGGAAGGAGCAGGAGGAGGAGGAGGAGGAGGAGGAGACGGAGGAGACGGACTCCTCTCTTGACGCGACGGTGGCGACGCGACAAGATCTTGCGGCGAGGGTGGCGGCTGCGGCGACGCCCGCGGCAGGCGTCGGGGGGCCTGCCGCCCGCAGCGCCGGCTCCGGCCTCCCGAGGGCGGCGGCCGCCGCGGCGGCGGCGGGCGGGCCCTGCCTTCGCCGGCCGGGGAGGAGGAGGAGCGCACGGCCCCGCTGGCGGGCGCAGCTGCTTCCTCAGAACTCCTTGGCTCCACTGGGGGGGCCACATGCGAGCCCTGCCCCTCCCCCTCAGAAAGCGTGGGGGGCAGGGGCAGGGTTCGCACGTGGCCCCCTCTCCACGCGAGGGTGGCCCTGGGCAAGGGTGACCTCTGGTGCGCGGCCTCGCGGGGGCGCGGGGGGGGGGAGCGGGCAAGCCCGAGCGGCGCGGGCCGCTCCCGTCGCATCGCGTGCAGCGATCGGGAGGCCCCACCGGGCGCGCACCAGAGGTCCCTCCGGCGAACGGTCACTCTTGCGTGGAGTCGATCTCTGGCGAGGTGATTCCTTCAATGCCAGCGTTCCTCCTCGCACCCCAGGCGCGAGAACCCTGGCCGGCACGCGCCCCGCGCGCGGACGAGCCGAACCCCGGGGGGGGGGGGGAAGCTCGGCTCGCGGCGTCGGCGGGAGGGGCAGGTCGGCATCTCCTGGTGGGCGCTCGGGCACCTCGCGGCGACTGACAGCTCCAGAGCGTAGCCGCATGCCTGGGGTCGCAGTGAGCAGTCCTGGCCGTGACGGCGCGGACACGGGCGCAATTGCCAAGCACGGTCGCCACCGAAGAGCAAGGCCGCCGCGGGTTGGCAGCCGGCATCATGGGCCAGGGGAGCCCGCCCCCCTGCATGGACAACTCTGGAAGTATTCCGTGCCTGAATCCGAAGTCTACGAAATTAAACGTGCCCATCACGAGTCTGCCCCTGGAACAGAATCGATGCTGGTGTACTCCAGAGCGGCCCCGATTCTAAGCGACCTGGCGCAGCAGTTTTGACTCGACAACAGCCACTCCGCAAAGAAGGCACTGAAGAACAAACCAGCCAGGCGGCGCGTCAGCGTGAAGCGGCGAAGCGTCGTGTCAAAGACAAAAAGGAGAGAGAGAGAGAGAGAGGATGTTAGAGGATAACGATGCACAGAAGCGAGGCCAGGATGATGACGTGGTGTAAAAACCCTGTGGCGCAACTAGCAAATTGTATGACTAAAAAGCACGGCATAACCCTGTAAGGTGACATACGGAGATTGTACGTACATACATATAGAATTGGAGAGGGGGAGAAAGAGAGAGAGAGAGAGGAAGGCAGCAGACTGATAAATATAGGAGAATTATACAGAAGGAGACAGGGAGGCAGAGAGAGCGAGACAGAGAGAGAGAAGATAGAGAGAGAGAGGGCGAGAAACACATATAAAAAAGCACGCATACACAAGCATGAGCTGTCAGGCACAGCATTTCTGTCATCAAACAACAATTAATCAGCATGATGACCTAGCAAGGGATAAAACCATGCAGCGATTGGTGGATTCGTGCTTCAGTGCAGTATCCAGACAATAGTAGTACCCAGTTAACGTTTACACTGCATCCCTGGGTTGCCAACATAGTGACCAGGATCCCACTTGAAAGCTACCAGCGCCAACCAACACCTGTCGGCACTCGCGCGTACAAGCCAACAAACGTCAGCGGATGATCAACGCAGTGCAGTAGCAAGCCGACAACTGATACTGTTCTGCGCCCTTGTTCGCACGAGCGCATCGCTGTGCCGTATCTTGCCGAGGTTGGTCGCATGTGGCCTGCAACGTCTGGCGCGGAAGCGAAAGCGCTCGACCCCATGCGCCACTCGCCTCGCGAGCGCTGGCCACCGAGCTGTAAAACTCGTCACTCGGCCTCACATGCTGTGCGCCCACTTCCTGCCAGGGATCGTGGATGGTTCCTCTGCTCTTCCTGTCTGTAAGAATCGGTCACGTCAGCGAACAACGTGATGTACAACTGCACACTGGCGCCGCGCCAGTCGTCGGAACAGGCGAGGGGAGCGCGTTCTGGCACTGCCTACACGTCTGCCGCACGTTCGCCGTGGAGCTGCAAGCCATACTGCTGGGCTCTCAATTCCAGCGGGATAGACCACCTGCAAGCACGTGGACAAGAACATACAAACACGTTGCTTCGAAATTAGGTGCGGTGCGACTCTGGAAGCAGAAGGGCAACGAACCACACGGAAGACACTGCTCACACGCTTTAGTAGGCCACTGGGTGACGGCGGCGCTCGCCAGGCTGACCCATACCCAGTCCAAAACAAGCCTGGCCCAGCCTGTGCGAGTGCTGGCCCTGGACAGGCGATGCCATGACCATAATCGGTATCTTCCATCTCCTTTCACGCCACCACAACTGGTCCGCTCCGAATCAAACAGAAATGAGCCGTCTCATCGAGTGGACGCGGCTGCGGCTGCGGTGCCCTGTCACATTTGGGCTCTTTGCTGGCGCAGGCGGATCCGAGACCTCTGGGGTAAACAACCTGCGGAACATCTGCACTGGAAGAAGGTCTACATCCAAGTCTGCTTCTTCGGCCTCCTCCATTTTCTGGCGAAGCAACTCGTACGGGACATAGAAGCACAGAAGCGACCCTGGCAGCCACAAGGACAACCCAAACTGCACCCACCGTTCAGACATGTAAGCTTCAAGCACAATGGCCGCGAGGAAGAAACATGCGATGATACCCTCCACAATAAAAATTGGCGGCCGCCACGGCGAATGCCAACTTCGAGGAAGCACTGCGCCCCATTGAGAATTGATTTGGTAGAGCACGGGCACTAAGTACAAAGAGGAGCCCACCAAGTACAGAAGGTTGCTGGCATCAGTGATACCACCTGTCTGGGGAAGGAAGCCGTACGCGGAACCAACAGCGTAGCATGTCATGGCTGAAATGATGCACCACTCATTGCAGAACCTCTCCAGAGTGAATGGCAACGGATCCGTTAGTAATTCTTTGAGCGGTGCATAAGTGTAGAGGACGCAACCAGGAATCCAGAAAGCGCATCCAAGCCAAAGGCCTGCTTGAATGTAAAGCTGGACAGCGAAACACGGAGACCCCAGAGTGAAGAATATCGCACCGAAAAACCACGCGCGAATATGTTCATGATCAATGAAGTGTTCCCACGGTGACTCTGGAACGATATAGTTGCTTGAGACGGTGAGCTGCCGATACATGTGTTGCTAGGCCTACGACTGGCTCGTAGCAACCTCGCAACCTACATGCTTGAGCCGTCACTGAACGCCAACACTTCAATCGGGATTCTTGGTCCACAGTGCAACCGTTCGGACGTGTTATGATCAACGAAGTGATTCTACACATTGCATTACATGTCCGTCCGAGCATGAATCTGGCTTGGCGGTTCTGGCAGGAAGCATCGCGCACAAATAGAAACCGAAAAGAAGACAAGTTATAATACGACAAATCTTCGAAATGCGGCTCAGCGGCCCAAATGGAAAGGAATTCTTCACGTTCGAATAGACATCGTGCAAGCGAGCTGGACAGGAACCACCTGACGGGAACCCAACTGACGCGGAGACGCACGCAGCACTGGCCCGAATCGTACTGAATCGGAGCCGCCGAACGGGGGGCGTCCACTTTGCCTGCGCAGGCGAACTAAAGCGAACCACGGCTAACCCGAGACCGGTGTGGTCGCGAACCGCTCGGGACCAAACCAAACCGCGGCCTGGCTGACAGTCAAGACTGCGCCTAGAACGGCCCCAAGGGGCCCCCAAGACGGGCAGGATGCCCCAACGACAGCCCAAAGACGGCCCGAGAGGGCTCCAGGATGCCCCAGGCGAGCTCCAAGAGGCCCCCGAGGCAGTCGGTGACAAGGCAGAGGGAGCGGGGCAACAAGGCGGAGGGGCAGGCAGACGCAGAGGAACCGCGTACGAATGCTACGCAGGTACCCATGTGTCCGAGTTGTTGCTCGCCAGCGTCCCTGGCGAAGCGGCCCCGTCCCCTGGAATCCAAAATACAACTTCAGACGGGAAGGGGTACGAGCTCCTCAACGCCACCCGGGGGCCCTGAGAGCCCACGGTCAGCACTCCGTGGCCGCCGAAGTGCCCACTTAAGATGCTTTCTGAGATTGCTCCAGAAGGGCTCCAACGAGCTGGAGAGGCCTCAGGGACGCCCAAGACACCCAAGACAGGGCATCAAGAGGCACAAAGGATCGACTTCCAACACAGCTTTGCATGATTTTCGCGTTCTCACCTCAGCGGGTGTCTGCAAGCCAAAAAGACGCGAGAGGCCCCACAGACTTGCCCAAGACGGCCAGGAGGCCCCCAAGAAGGCCAGGAGACGGGCCAAGAGGGCCCCAAGACGGCGCAAGACCCCCAAGACGGCAAAAAGATCCTCAGGAGGGCCCCAAGAGGGGAGGGCCCAAGAGAGGCCCTAGAGGGGAAACCGCAAGAGCCCAAGCAGCCCTCCCCCATACGATGGCCCCCAAGACCCCCAAAATGCTCCCAAGAAGCCCCAAAGAAGCCCCCCGAGGGCCCCAAACAGCCCCCTCGGAGCTTTGAAACAACGCCCTCTCGGCATCGTGGAGGCCTCCAAGAAGCCCCGCAACAGACGCGGAGGAAGAGGAGGACGAATCAACAACAACTACACGCAAGCAGCACGACGGAAAGTGTCAAACAACACACGAGATATCAGAAGCCGGCGTCTCCTCTTCTGGGGGTCGGCGGAATGGCGTAAGCCTCATGTCCCGTAGACGGCTCCAAGACGGCTTCCAAGAGGAGCTCGATTTGCAGATCGCTCTGGAGACGCATTCGGGACGCATGTCGGCTACATTTCGGCCCCATCGGAGTCCATTCTGGGCCTTGAAAATCGACTCCTCGGGCCCTCTACAGCGCCTCCTCGGCACATTCTCGCCGAAAAGACAGCTTGTTGTTAATGATGTTAGCTTCCATGGGGGTGTCCACAACGCATCTTACACCTGACTTTCGAGCTCATATGGGATATTCTTCATCATGCTGATTTGGACGCCGTTTTTGGGAGCCCTCCGGGATCCTTTTTGAAGGATTCAGGGCCTAATTTTGTCCCCCAAAAGCCCAGAAGCGGCACGGTCATTACTGCAAGACGGACT